TCCTTTAAAGTGCAGGCATTGTACTTCCCATTTCCAGAACTCAAGTCCGACTATATGAAAATAACCGATTTCCTGAATCCCTTCACTAAAATATTACCCTGCTCACACTCCAACAGATCGTCAGGTCCCAAGTATCATTCGTCTCCATTCACTCCTATTAAACGCTCATGCACGCTTGCTGGAAGTCCAAGCCCCTCGCCCACAAAACTCCTTTACCCCCTCTTTCCAACCCATTCGAGGACGACCCTACCCTCCTTCCTTCCCCTATAGATTTATATGCTTTCCATGTCATTCTACTTTGATCCATTCTCTCTTAAATGACCAGACCACCTCAACAACCCCTCTTCTGCCCTCGGGACAAATGCTTTTATTAAACTCCACACCTTCTCCTAATTTCCACACCCCGAATTTTTGCATAATATTTACACCACACTTTGCCTTAAACGGGACATTTCCACTGCCTCCAACCGTCTCTTTGCTGCTGCATTTACCACCCAAGCTTCACATCCATATAAGGTGTTGGTACTACTATACTTTCATACATTCCCTTCTTTGCCTCATAGATAACGTTTTTTGATCCACATATCCCTCAACGCACCACTCACCTTTTTTCCCTCATCAATTCTATGATTAACTCATCCTTCAAATCCATTCCACCGACTTCAACTCCAAGTATCTGAATACATTTACTTCTTCCATACTCCTCCTCCCCAATTTGATATCCAATTTTTCTTTATCTAAATCATTTGATACCCTCATCACCTTACTCTTTTCTATGTTAACTTTCAACTTTCTACCTTTACACACATTCTCAAACTCATCCACTAACCTTTGCAATTTTTCTTTGGGAATTCCCATAAGCACAGTATCATCAGCAAAAAGTAACTGTGTCAATTCCCATTTTAAATTTGATTCCCCATAATTTAACCCCACCCCTCTCGCGAACACCCTAGCATTTACTTCTTTTTACAACCCCATCTATAAATATATTAAACAACCATGGTGACATTACACATCCCTGTCTAAGACCTACTTTTACCGGGAAGTATTTTCCCTCTCTTCAACACACTCTAACCTGAGCCTCCTATCCTCATAAATTTCTCTTAACGCATTTAGTAACTTTCCACCTATTCCTATACTTGCAAACATCTGCCACTTCCTCCTCTATCCCTCTAAACATTGCCTTTTCATAAATCCATAAATGCAGTAAAAACTTCCCTACCTTTATCTAAAAAATGTTACATATATGTTCAATGTAAACACTTGATCTACAACCACCCACTCTGAAGCCTCTCGCTCATCCGCAATTCTACATTCTGTCTTACCTCTAATTCTTTTCAAATTTTAACCCTACCCTATACTTTTCCTGGTATACTCAGTAAACTTATTCCTCTATAATTTTTACAATCTCTTTTGTCCCCTTTCCCTTTATATAAAGGGACTATACATACTCTCCGCCATCCCTAGGTACTTCCCCTCTTTCATACATTTATTAAACAAAAGTACCAACCACTCCAAAAACTATATCCCCCCTGCTTTTAACATTTCTGTCATGATCCCATCAGTTTCCAGCTGCTTTACCCCCTTTCATTCTACGCAATGCCTCACGTACCTCCACCACACTTACATTCTGCTCTTCTTCACTCCTAAAAAATGGTATACCTCCCTGGCCAGTGCATGAAATTACGCCTCCCTTTCTTCCTCAACATTTAAAAGTTCCTCAAAATATTCTCGCCATCTACCTAATACCTCCCTCTCCCCATCTACTAACTCCCCTACTCTGTTTTTAACTGACAAATCCATACTTTCCCTAGGCTTTCTTAACTTGTTTAACTCACTCCAAAATTTTTTCTTATTTTCATTAAAATTTCTTGACAGTGCCTCTCCCCACTCTTTCATCTGCTCTCCTTTTGCACTCTCTCACCACTCTCTTTACCTTTCTTTTACTCTCCATATACTCTGCTCTTCTTATAACACTTCTGCTTTGTAAAAACCTCTCATAAGCTACCTTTTTCTCTTTTATCACACCCTTCACTTCATCATTCCACCAATCACTCCTCTTTCCTCCTGCCCCCACCCTCCTATAACCACAAACTTCTGCCCCACATTTAATACTGCATTTTTAAAAATATTCCCAAACCCCCTTCAACCCCCCCCCTACTCATCTTTGCACTAGCCCACCTTTCTGCCAATAGTCGCTTATATCTCGCCCGAACTTCCTCCTCCCTTAGTTTTTTACACTTTCACCTCCTCTTTTCTTGTTGTTGCCACCTTCCTCTTTTCCATCTACCTCTTTACTCTAACGTAGTACAACTAAATAATGATCTGATATATCAGTTGCCCCTCTATAAACATGTACATCCTGGAGCCTACCCATCAACCTTTTATCCCCAATACATAATCAACAAACTACTTTCATTACTGTGCTACATCATACCTTGTATATTTATTTATCCTCTTTTTCATAAAATATGTATTACTTATTACCAAAATTTTTTTTCTACACATAGCTCAATTAAAGGTCCCCATTACATTTACCCCCGGCACCCAAATTTACCTACTACTCCCTCCATAACATTTACCCACTTTAGCATTGAAATCCCCAACCACCATTACTCTCCCCACTTGATTCAAAACTCACCATGCATTCACTCAACATTTCCCAGAATCTCTCTCTCTCCTCTACCACTTCTCTCTTCTCCAGGTGCATACACGCTTTTCTATAACCCCTTTTCACATCCAATCTTTATTTTACTCCACATAATCCTTGAATTTATGCATTTGTAGTCCCCCTTTTCCCGCCATAGTTTATCCTTCAACATTATTGCTACTCCTTCTTTAGGCTCAAACTCTATTTGAAACCCATGAACAATCCATTTATTCCCTCTCCATTGAAACTCTCCACCCCCTTCGCTTTGTTTCACTAAAGACAGAGAGGTTTCAGACAGTGGTAGTGGGAGTGTAGATCAAGGTGTTTACATTTGAAGCATTTATTGTGAACAGTATTGAGATAAAGATAGGATGGTTTTTATTGCATTTATGGATTTAGAAACAGGCATTTGATAGAGTGGATAGCTGGAGCAGTGGGGGGACAGATGTTGCAAAGTCTATGAGAATAGGTGTAAGTTATTAAATGCTGTAAAGAGTTTTTTTATGAGGATAGTTGAAGGCTCAGGTTGGGTGTGTAGAAGAGAGGGAGACTACTTCCCGGTTAAAAGTAGGTCTCTTAGACTGGGATTTGTAATGTCACCAGGGTTGCGTTTAATACTATATAGATGGGGTGTAAAGAAGTAAATGCTATACGGGTGTTCAGGGTGAGGGGGTGGCATTAAATATGGGGGAATGGAATCCAAATTCAAAATGGAAATTGACACAGTTACTTTTTGCTGATGATACTGTGCTTATGGGAGATTCTAAAGAAAAATTGCCAAAGGTTAGTGGATTGAGTTTGTGAATGTGTGTTAAGGTAGAAAGTTGAAAGTGAACATAGAAAAGAGTAAGGTGATGTGGCGTATCAAATGATTTAGATAAAGAGAAACTTGGATATCAAATTGGGAGGTGGAGGAGGATGTAATGGAGAGAAGTGAATGTTGTCAGATACTTGGGAGTTGACGTGTCGGCGGATGGATTTATGAAGGATGGGTTATTCATAGAATGATGAGGGAAAAAAAGGTGGAGTGCGTGCGTTGATGGTATATGTGGAGTCAAAAAAACGTTTTATATGGCAGGCAAAGAGGAATGTAGATAGTATAGTAGTACCAACACTCTTATATGGATGTGAAGCTTGGGTGGGTAAAGAGCAGCGATGGAGACGGTTGGAGCAGTGGCGTTGTCCTGTTTAAGGGCAATGGTGTGGTGTAAATATTATGCAGAAAAATTCGGAGAGTGTGGAAATTAGGAGAAGGTGTGGAGTTAATAAAGCATTCTGTCAGAGGCGCTGAAGAGGGGTTGATTGAGGTGGTTTGGTATTTAGAGAGAATGGATCGAAAGTAGAATGACATGGAAAGCATATAAAATCTATAGGGGAAGGAAGGAGGGGTTAGGGGTCGTCTCGAAAGGGTTTGGGAAAGAGGGGGTTTCTGTAAAGGAGGTTTGTGGGGAGGGGCTTGGACTTCCAGAGGTGTGGTGCGTGGGCGTGTTAGATAGGTCGTGAATGGCAGGAGACGATTGATACTTGGGAACTGACGATTCTGTTGGAGTGTGAGCAGGGTAATATTTAGTGAAGGGATTCAGGGAAACGGTTATTTTCATAGAGTCGACTCGAGTCCTGGAAATGGGAAGTACAATGCCTGCACTTTAAAGGAGGGGTTTGGTATTGGAAGGCTTGGAGGGATATGTTGTGTATCTTTATACGTATATGCTTCTAAACTGTTGTATTCTGAGCACCTCTGCAAAAGCAGTGATAACTGTGTGAGTCGTGGTGAAAGTGTTGAATGACTGATGAAAGTATTTTCTTTTTGGGGATTTTCTTTCTTTTTTTTTGTCAACCTGCTGGTGGAGGACGGCGACTTTGAAAAAAAAAAAAAAAAAAATAAAAAAAGTATATATATATATATCATTATATATATATTATATATATACACACACACACACACCTCTGTGTCCATGTATTGATTTGTAACAGCTTGACAAAGCTCATGGAGAGTGAAACATTGCCACAATATAATCTGTCACATTAGTTGCACTCGTGTCCTTTACTTTAAATATTGTCAGTAATTATACCTTATATTATATACAACATAAAGTTTATTACCCACACACTTAGAAGGGAGAACTTATTTTGATATTCAATTAAATGTGATTAGATTTAATATCCTTATTATGTTTAAGTCAAATAAAAGTTTTCAAGTCATGACATCACAACTCACATTTGCCATAAATGTGGGAAACTGAACAAGGATCACCGTTTGGTATAGAATACCAGACATATACCGGCCACACTGTATTATACTTTACAATGTGTGTTAACTCAGATTGTCACTAAGCTAAGCAACACTTACGAGGAAAACTGAAGACAGCAAGAAAGGATGGATACGAGGGACTTGTGACCTGGCCATCAGGGTAGATGAAGAATATCTGAACACCATTCTCTATTTCGAAGATCATCTCTCCCTGCTGAGGTGACAAGACTGGGGTCACAAGAGGAGTCTCCTCTGCAATTTCCTCAAAGGCCGACTCTTGAACCTGTGTATTGGTACACTCCATTACTATTACTGAAGGGATTCAGGGGGAACTGAGGAATAACAAAACTTAAAAAAATCTTTGCCCCCCCCCCACCATTTTTTTTTTTTTAGAGGTCTCAAGAATGTAAGCATATATGACCCGTATGTTATTCAACCCAGTTACCACAATTTCAGTTAAAATGGCAGTTTTCAGAGACTAAGGTTCCACAACTTATATTTCCTCATTGAATTAACATCTTTATGTCAACCTGATACCTGCCAAGCACCTGCATTTTGGAGTCATTCTTCCAATAACTTTACAGCAAATATATGTTACATGAACAGACATCTGGGTCAACGGCCAAGATATTTCACTGAAGACTAACATGAATACTACAAGTATTTACTCATCTCTAACAAATGCAAAAACATCAAAACCACTGTGATGCACCTGAGGGTTAAGAGCGTTGAGGCGAGGATAAGTACTTCTTGTTGCTGACATACTGATGCTGCTCGTTGCACCTGTAGTGGGAAAACATAAATAGAATAGTATTTTGAACATGTTATAATTTTATTACATCCATGAGAAGTGCTGAGCTTATAGAGGTGTGATCAGAGAAAGAGGGCAGCTCCAATTTATTGGATCAAGACTGCTTCATTAGCATCACCCTTGCAGGGTGACCTGACAATGGTTTAGGACATGCCAAAATGTCACAAGATTCCTCTCCTAAGTGAGGATTATTTGTAAATTGTTCCAACCATGGTATTGTAACTTATTCTTCTTATTGAACATTTGATGATTATTATATTATACCTGAAAGTTAAACCTGTGTAGGTCATTCAACACAATTCATGGCAGAGGTTCAATCCTTTGTCCACTAACAGTGAGACAGATATACTCCCTAACATTCCTTTAGTTGAAAATTAGGCGAGAATAGACTAACCACATCACATGTAGGAATGTACAGCAGTGTTATATCTTTCTAAATGTATTTTTGTAAAGAGAAAAAATGGAAAGATAAAATTACAATTAACAAATAAAAATTAGACTGAAGAGTATATATCAAATGAATTTACCACATATTAGTCTCTTGAGTAATTAAGCAAGCCTGTTCCACCACTTTGATTATGGGTGGAGTAGAGGCCATAGTGCCTCTATAAATACTTCAAATTTTTGCAAAAGATAATCCGCTAAAGAAGTAGATCCAGTAAGAGCTATTTTATGAAAGAAAAGCTTAAAATTAAAGAGGTACTGTAATTCTCATTTAGGTCTCAAGCTAATCAAACATTACAATGTGAAGCACGTCAACAATTTTCAGAGTAAAAATTTTTTACTCTTGCATTTTAACTTAATTTTGCAATGCCATTAACTCATACCTCAACCACATTTTCAACATGCCTGCCAAAGTTAACCCTTTGACTGTCGTGGCCGTATATATACGTTTTACGAGGTGCCGTGTTTGACGTATATATACTCATAAATTCTAGCGGCTTCAAATCAAGCAGGAGAAAGCTGGTAGGCCCACATGTGAGAGAATGGGTCTGTGTGGTCAGTGTGCACCATATAAAAAAAAACCTGGAGCACGCAGTGCATAATGAGAAAAAAAAACTCCAACCGTTTTTTTTTAATTAAAATGCCGACTTTGTGGTCTATTTTCGTATAGTATTTATGGTTGTATTCTCGTTTTCTTGGTCTCATTTGATAGAATGGAAAACATATTACAGAAATAGAGGTGTTTTTGATTGATTTTACTATAAAAAGAACCTAGAAATGGAGCTCAAAGTAGGGGAAATGTTTGATTTTTGCCAATGTTCAAAAGTAAACAAATGATGCCATTGTCCAATAAATGTCCAACTAGCCATTCTAATATGCAGTCATGAATGGGTTGATGTTATTTATACAGTTATTACAGCATTGCAGTAGTCTGCATACTAGTAAGTCTAATATTTTTTGTTTGAATAAAAATTCAAAATAGAAAGCAAGAGTAATATCAGAGGGGCCTGGAGACGTGACTGATGAACAAAGAAAACGTTATTTTAGAGCCAGGAATGTCTGCATTGTTCATTCTGGACCTTATTTTGAAATTGTCATATTTTTTAGTTTTCGTGAAATTGGCCAAATTGCAAATTTCTGACCACATTACATGTATTAGGTAGTTGAAATCAGTAAATGGGCAGTTTCTTGTACTCAATCGATAGAAAAAATGAAGTTCTAAAGAAATAGCTATGAGTGTGGGCGACTGGAACAATGGAATTAGCAGAAAATAGGGCTCAAAGTGTGATGAATGGTTTGAAAAACCGACATGTTGAAGATTGAGACACTTATGCAGCATATGGGAATCTTTATTCAGGAAACGTTTCGCCACACAGTGGCTTCATCAGTCCAATACAAAGAGGAAGGCGTAAGGAGAGGAGGAGAATGAGGTAATCAGTCCCTCAACCTGGAGTCGATGTGTTCAGTCCATCAATCTTGTAGAATGTACAGCATAGGGCCGTAGACTCCAGGTTGAGGGACTGATTACCTCATTCTCCTCCTCTCCTTACGCCTTCCTCTTTGTATTGGACTGATGAAGCCACTGTGTGGCGAAACGTTTCCTGAATAAAGATTCCCATATGCTGCATAAGTGTCTCAATCTTCAACATGTCGGTTTTTCAAACCATTCATCACAACTGTCAGACACTGCAGCATCATGGGATCTTGTTACAAAGAATTCTTCAACACTTGTTCAACCTTTGGACGAAGACCTACTTCGACTAGTGGATGGTACCACTATGACCCCGCCTCCACCTGCTTCACGTCACCTCACTACAGTATATAAGCCACGTCTACGGCCCTATGCTGTACATTCTACAAGATTGATGGACTGAACACATCGACTCCAGGTTGAGGGACTGATTACCTCATTCTCCTCCTCTCCTTACGCCTTCCTCTTTGTATTGGACTGATGAAGCCACTGTGTGGCGAAACGTTTCCTGAATAAAGATTCCCATATGCTGCATAAGTGTCTCAATCTTCATCAGGGCTCAAAGTGGGCGAAATCGCCGATTTGTAAACAGCGCCGAGGTCACTAACTTCGCGAGAGCATAATTCCGTCAGTTTTCCATCAAATTTCGTTTTTTTTGGTGTCATTACAATCGGGAAAAGATTCTCTATCATTTCATAAGAAAAAATAATTTTTTTTTTTTTAAATTTTGCGACACCAGGAGACACCTCAGGATTGGGGGTTGCGCCAGTCAAAGGGTTAAAATTTAATCACCACATGTCTGATCAAAATGCACTAAGAAAAACAAAGAAAAATTATACTGTACCTATAAGACATGACAATTTTCCTTGATAATTACATTCAGTTACTAGACTGCAAGACCTCAGGAAGAGTTCTCTGTCTTTTCCTAACTCAGAATGAATGTAACTCACCTAGATCAAGAGACTTAAGATAATCATCATAGGAGGGTGGGGCATCCTCTACTTGAGGAGCTGTAGCATTACTACTTGAGATAACTGATGTCTGGCAGTCAGCAAAGTGGCTCAACACTTCTTTCCTGGAATAACAAAAGTATTTATGAAGAGTACAGACATCATTACTGTGTCTGACATACAACAGTCCCCCCATATCCGCGGAGGATATGTTCCAAGACTTACCACAGATACCTGAAACCGTGGATAGCTGCTAACTTCGTACATAAGTCACGTTTCATTTACATACTGTACATACCTATGATAAAGTTTAATTGATAAATTATGCACAATAAGTCAAGAATTTTAGTACTTTTTCACTGATGGGAAGCACTTCACGACTTCTCTTAGTCTTTGAAGAACTCCCATCGTCACTACTTTTCTGCTTTGGTGTCATTATTAAGCAAAATTAAGGGTTGTTTTCTGGCCACAGTAAATCATAGACAACTGAAACCATGGAAACCGAATCCGCAGATATGGGGTTCTACTGTATACTGTGCTGTATCCCTGTCGAATCAGCAATGGGCTAGTTACATAAGGGCAATTGAAGTAGGTAGCCCAAGCCTCCATTCTCGAAATAATGCCCTAATTTATGATATTCCATACTCATGATCAGGGCACCTTGGAACATATTAGAGACTTAGAAATGCCAATCTACAAAAAAAAATCATTGCAAATATAGTAGAATTTCACAAGCTGCATATCCAGGTATCACATTCAGTAAATCATGACTGAAATATTGTACCGAAGTACATATTGCACAGGAAAATGACTACTTAATTGTACCGTGAGGTTTGACAACAGACGCAGCAACCAAAGGATAGTAACCCATAATTATACTACACAGCAATTAACATTACCATGCCTTTAACAATCATGTACCTACTGTAGCTGTATTTACAATTACTGAATACGTTGGAGAAATATCCAGCCTCAAAAAAATTATTAAAGGAGAAAAGTTGTGTAGCGAGATCTATGATCTTCACCGCGTCACAGCCATGAAAGTATTTCTGTTTAGGTTTAACCCTTTGACTGTCGCGGCTGTATATATACGTCTTACGAGGTACCGTGTTTGACGTATATATACTCATAATTTCTAGCGACTTCAAATCAAGCAGGAGAAAGCTGGTAGGCCCACATGTGAGAGAATGGGTCTGTGTGGTCAGTGTGCACCATATAAAAAAAATCCTGGAGCACGCAGTGCATAATGAGAAAAAAAAAACTCCGACCGTCTTTTTTAATTAAAATGCCGAATTTGTGGTCTATTTTCGTATAGTATTTATGGTTGTATTCTCGTTTTCTTGGTCTCATTTGATAGAATGGAAAACATATTATAAAAAGAGGTGATTTTGATTGATTTTACTATAAAAAGAACCTAGAAATGGAGCTCAAAGTAGCGGAAATGTTTGATTTTTGCCAATGTTCAAAAGTAAACAAATGATGCCATTGTCCAATAAATGTCCAACTAGCCATTCTAATATGCAGTCATGAATGGGTTGATGTTTTTTATCACACTGGCCGATTCCCACCAAGGCAGGGTGGCCCGAAAAAGAAAAACTTTCACCATCATTCACTCCATCACTGTCTTGCCAGAAGGGTGCTTTACACTACAGTTTTTAAACTGCAACATTAACACCCCTCCTTCAGAGTGCAGGCACTGTACTTCCCATCTCCAGGACTCAAGTCCGGCCTGCCGGTTCCCCTGAACCCCTTCATAAATGTTACTTTGTTCACACTCCAACAGCAAGTCAAGTATTAAAAACCATTTGTCTCCATTCACTCCTATCAAACACGCTCACGCATGCCTGCTGGAAGTCCAAGCCCCTCGCACACAAAACCTCCTTTACCCCCTCCCTCCAACCTTTCCTAGGCCGACCCCTACCCCGCCTTCCTTCCACTACAGACTGATACACTCTTGAAGTCACTCTGTTTTGCTCCATTCTCTCTACATGTCCGAACCACCTCAACAACCCTTCCTCAGCCCTCTGGACAACAGTTTTGGTAATCCCGCACCTCCTCCTAACTTCCAAACTACGAATTCTCTGCATTATATCCACACCACACATTGCTCTCAGTCATGACATCTCCACTGCCTCCAGCCTTCTCCTCGCTGCAACATTCATCACCCATGCTTCACACCCATATAAGAGCGTTGGTAAAACTATACTCTCATACATTCCCCTCTTTGCCTCCAAGGACAAAGTTCTTTGTCTCCACAGACTCCTAAGTGCACCACTCACCCTTTTCCCCTCATCAATTCTATGATTCACCTCATCTTTCATAGACCCATCCGCTGACACGTCCACTCCCAAATATCTGAATACATTCACCTCCTCCATACTCTCTCCTCCAATCTGATATCCAATCTTTCATCACCTAATCTTTTTGTTATCCTCATAACCTTACTCTTTCCTGTATTCACTTTCAATTTTCTTCTTTTGCACACCCTACCAAATTCATCCACCAATCTCTGCAACTTCTCTTCAGAATCTCCCAAGAGCACATTGTCATCAGCAAAGAGCAACTGTGACAACTCCCACTTTATGTGTGATTCTTTATCTTTTAACTCCACGCCTCTTGCCAAGACCCTCGCATTTACTTCTCTTACAACCCCATCTATAAATATATTAAACAACCACGGTGACATCACACATCCTTGTCTAAGGCCCACTTTTACTGGGAAATAATTTCCCTCTTTCCTACATACTCTAACTTGAGCCTCACTATCCTCGTAAAAACTCTTCACTGCTTTCAGTAACCTACCTCATACACCATACACCTGCAACATCTGCCACATTGCCCCCCTATCCACCCTGTCATACGCCTTTTCCAAATCCATAAATGCCACAAAGACCTCTTTAGCCTTATCTGGGTTGATGTTATTTATACAATTATTACAGTATTGCAGTAGTCTGCATAATAGTAAGTCTTCTATTTTTTGTTTGAATAAAAATTCAAAATAGAAAGCAAGAGTAATATCAGAGGGGCCTGGAGACATGACTGATGAGCATAGAAAATGCTATTTTAGAGCCAGGAATGTCTGCATTGTTCATTCTGGACCTTATTTTGAAATTGTCATATTTCTTAGTTTTCGTGAAATTGGCCAAATTGCAAATTTCTGACCACATTATTAGGTAGTTGAAATCGGTAAATGGGCAGTTTCTTGTACTCAATCAATAGAAAAAATGGAGTTCTAAAGAAATAGCTATGAGTTTGGGCGACTGGAACAATGGAATTAGCAGAAAATAGGGCTCAAAGTGGGCGAAATCGCCGATTTGTAAACAGCGCCAAGGTCGCTAACTTCGCGAGAGCATAATTCCGTCAGTTTTCCATCAAATTTCGTTTTTTTGGTGTCATTACAATCGGGAAAAGATTCTCTATCATTTCATAAGAAAAAATAATTTTTTTTTTTTAATTTTGCGACACCAGGAGACACCTCAGGATTGGGGGTTGCGACAGTCAAAGGGTTAATAGTTCCACCACAGTTTACATCGTACTGAGTTGTATCGTCCCTCCACAGCACTGGAAGCTGGTACTCAGAGCTCAAAAAGACTTAGCTTATTTTATTACAATAATACTGAATTTTTCCTAGTTATTACTTTCTCAAATGCATTATCTTAATATATTCTGTACATACTTGTTGGGTATAGGTGTGGCAAGTTTTATATATTTGTTAAAGTTTAGTAGGGAAATGTGGCAAAGTTTTACCAACAGCAAAACGTTGACGGGAAGTGATGTGGCAGTAGCCAGGGATAGGGGTCAAATAAACACTTCCAAATCCAATTACAGTACAACTATAAACATGGTAATCCATAAAAAGCAAAACTGAAACAAATATATGGTGGAACCTCGGTTGTCGTATGCCCTGGTTTTCGTAGGATTTGGTTTTCAACGACTTTTTTCATCAAAATTTTGTCCCAGTTTTTGTACATCTGCTCGGTTTTCATAGAGCTGACAATGGTCTGCCTGCCCGTGCCCACACGAAACATCTCATGCGTTCTGACTCAGTCTGGTTTTGTTTCTCATTAAGTGAGCATTACCCCGCGCATTCATCCGAAACATTTTGTAGTAATCCATTGTTTTTTGTGCTCGTTTATTGAGTGCAACTGCTAAATAAGCCACTATGAAGGCAAGAAACACAATAGAATTCAAGAAAGAACTTGTAGCAAAGTACAAAAGTGGCGTACGTGTGTCCGCCGATCTCGCCAGAATGTACGGGAAGTCCACATCAACATTCAATGACAATGCCTTGTCCCATTTTAGGCAAATCTTAAAGAGACGCCAGAAACAGACCTCTCTGGACAGATTTTTTGTGCGACAGGGGTCCATTGACTCAAGCTGGTCCTAGTGCCAGTAAAAGACAAAGAAGGGAAGTAACCCCAGTCAGGGCCTTGATATCTGAAGTCCTTACAGAAAGGGATTCCAATTCTAAACAATAACCACTCCTCCTCCCTCTCCCCTCCTCGCTGTCTTCCACACGCCAACAAGAGTCTTCAATAAAGGTGAAAGTTATGTTAAATGTTCATTTAGCCATTTCATTAGTCATTTATGTTTATTTGTCATTGTTTTCTGTATGTAAAACTATAATTTTTCTCTATAAAATGTATTTTTTGTTAATATTTTTGGGTGTCTGGAATGGATTAATTGGATTTACATTATTTCTTATGGGAAACATTGCTTCAGCTTTCATACAATTCAGGTTTTGTCAGACTTTCTGGAACAAATTAATCACAAAAACCAAGGTTCCACTGTATAATTTTTTGAAACCCTAGATTACAAATGAAATACAAAAGTCACAAATATAAATAAAATACAAAGCTTCAAGATACGAATCTTCAAATATAAATAAATCCCCATTACGTATAGATACTGCACTTATTTCACAATTTTCCATACAAGCCAGAAATTAAATTGTTAAATATTCTGTTATCAATATTGCTGGCACTATGGATAGCAGCAACCACTGTCTTACAGAGGATGACATCTATTGTCTCATTTGAAGAGGCATTCTTAAGATATCAAGGAACATAATGGAAGGGAGGAAAAGAAGAAATGAGAGAAAGACAACAGCGTATGTACCATAACGTATCCCTCCTGAGGATAACTGTACCTAATTACTATAAAAAGCCTTCCCTCTTAGGAAATGCATAAGCTAAATAAGATATTTAGCATAAAACACATTTACATAACATAAGACACATGTTACAAATTACAGTTCAAAATTAAATAAAATATTACTCCAAGTCTAGCTCTATACATATTATAGTCAGCAATTATACTCTTTTACATCCTCATGTAGCATTTTCTTAGGTGTCAAGTTATTAAAAAACACAAACATTCTATCCACAGTAACATTATTATAAACATTTGGAATAGCTCTCCAACATAAGCCAACAAAAAATTCAAAGGAAAAGCCGACACTTTTGTTAAACTGAAAACACTTCTACCTTGTGCATCTCATCTTGAGCTGCATCTCAGCATACTGCTGTACCTTTTCAGCACTACAGTCAAAGGATTCAACTTTGGTAGTGAGAGCTTTGTCAATCATTGCAAGACCTTTCTGCAGCACAACTCCAGCCTGAAAGTAAAGTATAGGAATCCTTTAGTAGATCTGAATTATGAAAACAGTCAAAAAATTTAAAGTTAAAAAATATTACTGTACTATACAAAATGTCATTTATTGTGAGAGCTGGCAAATACTGTATAACAAAATTTAAAACAGGAAGCTGCAGTTTGCAGTGTGACCACTCCTATTTATGATCTTTTGTATGGATTCCCTGATCTATAGGACATTTTACACAGATGCAAAGCCAAATATGATAGTCTATCACTTATTTCTTCTAGACTGGAATACTGCTGTACATTATCAACCCCCTTTTATGGCTGGTGAAATTACAGAGCTGGAGAATGTATAGAGAGCCTTTACTACCCTTATATTTTCAGTCAGGCACCTAAATTATTAGGAACACTAAGTCCCTCGAACTGTATTCCTAGGAACATGGGCGGGAAAGTAGCATCATAATGTATATATATACAGTGGAACCTCAAAAATCGAACTGCTCCCAACACAACCAATTATGCAAGTGTATTTTTGTAAGTGCTTTTATAAGTGTATTTTTGAGGGTCTGAAATGGACTAATCTAATTTACATTATTCCTGATGGGAATAAATTCATTTGGTAAAGGCACTCGAACAGCCTTCTGGACTGAAGAAAGTTCGATATTTGAGGTTCCACTGTACCTGGAAAATTCTGGAGGAATTTATCCGAAACCTGCACACACAGATCATTTCCTACACAAACGAGTGACTTGGCAAATGGTGCAAAATATCCCCAGTGAAAAACAGGGGTTCAGCAATTATGATACGAGATAACTCTCTAAGCATAAAGGGACCAAGATTTTTCAACACACTTCATACAAAAAGGGAATTACCAACAACCCCAAGTTGTCTTCAAAAGCAGCAGCGTCGTAAGGGGAGGGCAAGGGAGGCGGGCCACCCCAGGTGACACCATTTAGGAGGTGACACCATAAAGCCTCTAAAGAAGGTGACACTAATGCCCAAAACAGTGCTGCAGCAACATAAGAGAAAAATCCTTCATTTCTATATAGCCTATCGTATGATTACAAAGTACAAATAGCCCTATATCGGGAAAATCATTGATTTTGATGATGTGATAGATGATTTTGCAGGACTGAAGGCAAGGAAATGTAAGATCAGAGTCACTGAGATGTTACCTGTACTCAAGGTCAAATCGGAACTAATGCTTCTCTGATATTGCAATGTTTTTCTTTATTTTTCAAGTTTTTTTTTTTTTTTTTTTTTTTTGCATTGTTGAAGATGAATAAATGTAGGATCTGTTGCCTGTACAGTGCTGAAAGTGGTATTTAATTTTATGTTTCCTCAATATTACTGCAATTATTTATTTTATCATTAATAAAGTTGAGAAGTATTCTCCTGCTCGATTTATGGCCCTTAAACGTTCTCATTGCTAAACATTAGTCATTAGTCATGCAGTAGTGATGTAACTGGAGTTAATTCCCCCCCATCCCTTCACCCCTGGATTTCATGGGGGCGACACCAAAGATGCCGCCCCGGGTGACACCAACCTTAGCGATGCCACTGTTCAAGCGTACACTTGGTAAATTCCTCAAGTCAGTTCCTGATCAGCTGGGCTGTGGTGCATATCAGACTGCATGTGGCTAGCACCAACAGCCTGCTTGATCATGCCGTCAACTAGGTTTGGTCTGGAACTAAGCCACAGGGGGCAATGACTCCCAAAATCATCTTCTGGTAATGATGTTGAGAAGTGAGGAATCATGCAGGAATTTGTTACTTTAACTCCACAGGTGTGAGGGTATAGTGGTATGCATACTGACATCAGAATTAAAAGAACCCAAACAATAAGTTTTATTTAGACCCTCCAGGTATATTCCAGGTACAGACCATCAAATGTGATAGAACTTGCTGCTGCCCCAAATTATACAAAATATTTCATAAAATTCCCTTCTGTAAAAGCTTCTATGAGCAATGGGTCTAATTATTCCATAAACATCACCGGATCCATGTGCATTTTTTATAATGTACAATACTCAGATAATGCTTTTTACTATCATCTACACCAGATGTGAAAAATACATTTCTAAGAATGAGCTGACACTCAGGTTACTGACCTATGCCCTAATATTTCTAAATAAAATGCAAGTTTTATGATTTCATACAAACCTGAGTATGAAGCCCTTTTGTCACCAATGTGATACCATGGTCAATCAGCTTGTATGCCTCTACATACGTCTTCTCAAATTCCTCCTCCGGTGTGATTGTACACGCTGTTCCCAACAGGTTGCTTGGTGGTGGTGGCCGACTTGGTGCTGGCTGTTTAGGAGGTTCAGCACTCATTTCTAAAATAAATAATCATTCAAAAATTCAATATAAAAAGAATGGTGATCCAAGACTTGCAAAAGGCATTTGATACAGTTAACCATAATGTATTGTGTAGAACACTACAAGTTATTGATACAGACTTTGTAGACTGTTCTTGCCTGAGCAACAGTTAGCAAATTGTCAAGGTCAATAACAAAGAATCAAAGCTCCTGCCAATGACGTGTGGTGTTTCCAAGAGGAGTGTTCTGGGTCCCCTACTGTTGTGTTATGTAAATGACATGCCCATCAATGTTAAGTATGTATAAACTTCAATTGTATGTAGATGACAGTACTCTCTCAGGCTCAGTTAAGTAGATTTATATAGTCACAGGTAGACACAAGTACAATTATCATACTTGATGTAAATTATCTAGGATAAAAACCAACAGGATATAGTTAATGTACTGTCACTGGAACTAGTCTTGCAGGATATGGTTTGTAGATAAACATTACTACACTTAGGAAAAACAGAAGCCATACTCTTTGGCACAAAAAAAAGTACACTGAGCAAGGATAAACATTTTTAATGTACAGTGGACCCCCGGTATTCGATGGCATCGGTATTCGATAAATCCGGTATTCGATACATTATATCGCAAAAAATTTTCCTCGATATTCGATACGATTCGTACGAGACGTGTCCACGTGTGGCCTGAACTGCCCCTTGTATGCCAGTGTTTACAAGCCAGCCAGTGTGCGCGCATCTAAAGATACATTCAGTACATTCCATATTATCCATATTATCACTGTGTTTGGTGCTTGTTTCTGCAAAATAAGTCACCATGGGCCCCAAGAAAGCTTCTAGTGCCAACCCTTCAAGAAAAAAGTCGCTAATGACTTATGAAATGAAGAAAGAGATAATTGCAAAGTACGAAAGTGGAGTGCGTGTGTCGGAGCTGGTTAGGTTGTATAATAAACCCCAATCAACCATCTCTACTATAGTGACCGGGAAAACGGCAATCAAGGAAGCTGTTCTTGCAAAAGGTGCAACTGTGATTACGAAACAGCGACCGCAAGTGTTAGAAAATGCTGAGAGATTGTTATTGGTATGGATAAATGAAAAACAGATAGCAGGAGATAGCATCTCTCAAGCAATCATTTGTGAAAAGGCTAGGCAGTTGCATGACGATTTGGTAAAGAAATTGCCTGCAAATAGTGGTGATGTGAGTGAATTTAAGGCCAGCAAAGGTTGGTTTGAAAGATTTAAGAATCGTAGTGGCATACATAGTGTGATTAGGCATGGCGAGGCTGCCAGTTCGGACCAAAAAGCAGCTGAAAAATATGTGAAGGAATTCAAGGATTACATAGACAGTGAAGGACTGAAACCTGAACAAGTGTTTAATTGCGACGAAACAGGCCTGTTTTGGAAGAAAATGCCAAGCAGGACCTACATTACTCAGGAGGAAAAAGCACTCCCAGGACATAAGCCTATGAAAGACAGGCTTACTCTGTTGATGTGTGCCAATGCTAGTGGTGATTGCAAAGTGAAGCCTTTATTGGTGTATCACTGAAACTCCCAGAGTGTTCAGGAAAAACAATGTCCTCAAGGCTAATTTGTGTGTGCTGTGGAGGGCAAACAGTAAGGCATGGGTCACTAGGGACTTTTTCTATGACTGGTTACACCATGCATTTGCCCCCACTGTGAAAAATTACCTAACTGAAAAGAAATTAGACCTTAAGTGCCTCCTGGTATTAGACAATGCCCCTGGTCATCCTACAGACTTGTCAGAGTGACTTTCTGGGGACATGAGCTTCATTAAGGTCAAGTTTTTGCCTCCTAATACCACTCCTCTCCTGCAGCCCATGGACCAGCAGGTCATTTCCAACTTCAAGAAACTGTACACAAAAGCTATGTTTCACAAGTGCTTTATAGTGACCACAGAAACTCAACTGACTCTAAAAGAGTTTTGGAAGGATCACTTTAATATCCTCAATTGTATAAACCTGATAGGTACGGCTTGGGAGGGAGTGACTAAGAGGACCTTGAACTCTGCTTGGAAAAAACTGTGGCCAGAATGTGTAGACAAAAGGGATTTTGAAGGATTTGAGGCTAACCCTGAGAATCCTATGCCAGTTGAGGAATCCATTGTGGCATTGGGTAAGTCCTTGGGGTTGGAGGTTAGTGGGGAGGATGTGGAAGAGTTGGTGGAGGACAGTGAAGAACTAACCACTGATGAGCTGATAGATCATCTTGAACAACAAGAGGGCAGACCTGAGGAAACTGCTTCGGAGGAGGGGATAGAGAAATTGAAGAAGTTGCCTACTTCAAAGATTAAGGAAATGTGTGCAATGTGGCTTAAAGTGCAAACCTTTTTTGATGACAATCACCCTAACACAGCTATTGCAAGCTGTGCTGGTGACTATTACACTAACAATGTTGTGAAACACTTTAGGGATGTCATAAAGGAACGGGAGGTACACCTGGAGTTTACCTGGAGAGAGTTCCGGGGGTCAACGCCCCCGCGGCCCGGTCTGTGACCAGGCCTCCTGGTGGATCAGAGCCTGATCAACCAGGCTGTTGCTGCTGGCTGCACGCAAACCAACGTACGAGCCACAGCCCGGCTGGTCAGGAACCGACTTTAGGTGCTTGTCCAGTGCCAGCTTGAAGACTGCCAGGGGTCTGTTGGTAATCCCCCTTATGTATGCTGGGAGGCAGTTGAACAGTCACTATGGACAGATATGTTGTGCGACAGAAATCCAGCGACTCTGAAGCTGGTCCTAGTGGCATTAAAAGAAGAAGGGAAGTAACCCCGGAAAAGGACTTGCTACCTCAAGTCCTAATGGAAGGGGATTCCCCTTCTAAACACTAGCACCTCTCCCCTCCTCCCATCCCATCAATCATCACCAGATCTTCATTAAAGTAAGTGTCAATTATTTTATTGTTATTATTCTATTGCATTAAACTTAATATTCCATGTAGTAAAAATTTTTGTTTTTCATACTTTTGGGTATCTTGCACGGATTAATTTGATTTCCATTATTTCTTGCGAGGAAAATTGATTCGGTTCTCGATATTAATCGGTATTCGATGAGCTCTCAGGAACGGATTAATATCGAATACCGGGGGTCCACTGTACTGTGTAATGGGGAACCCATCACAACTGTACCCTCGCTAAAATATCTGGAAATACCTGTTCGGTCCAATCTTGTCACCTACCTACTGAGGCTTGTACGACCTTGTATCTAGTTCTTATACGGTGTCATGTAGATTATTCTTATTCATCACAGTACTGCTCTAACAAAAAAAGACTAGAAGACTAGAAATTCCCCAGAATAAGATGGTGAGAGTCATGCTGGCCCTGGGTCCAAGAGAGCATGTAGGCCAGGATGAATTACAACTGAAATTGCATAATATTGGATACAGCAGATCAATCAGAACAAAGCACTAAACCTACAGAGGAGTATTAGAGTAAGGCAGCTGAAGCTAAATCATGTTTACTAAGTTCCCCTTCACCATACACATTATGTATTAGGGGCCTTTGATCCCACCCTCACACCCACTCACATGCCCACACAATAAGGCTCCCTACAACCACTTATATTTTATGTTTGTAAAAAAGTTTAAGATTATATTTCTGTAATATGTTTTGCAACCTGATTCTTACTTCTATAAATAACTCATTATAATTGTAATTAGATATAAACATGTAAATAGTTCATTACCACTGTAACCTGTTTAGCTATCAAAACTTTGTGGCCCAGTCCCTGGACCCATTATGTGCTTCTCTAATTTTTTGACTACCACCTACACCATGGGTACATGGTGTAAGTTTATTAAGGTAGAGGTACATCATACATACTGAAAATTACCTAGGCTAACCCATAAAAGTCAAAGTGACTTATTTCCACTGGAGTCGTTGCATGATATATATATTAAACTAAACCTCCCACCTTTACACCCACACAAATTTTTATTATATTTTGTGTACATGTCATACAAATATATTTTTACAATGGTTTGAGAGCATTCAGGTGTTATGAGCGTGTTAAAGGCACACCAAGTCATGGATAAATAATGTGACTTATATCCACGGAGGTTCCTCACAGGACACCACCCAGGGGTCCAGAAGCTGTAACTTAACCCCCATAACCACATGAACACAGGTCACCAATCAGGGGTCCAGGAGATGTGACTTGACCCCTGCAACCACAGGTTACCACTCACCACACATTATACCTTCCTGACACTCACTTTGCAAAGTTGTGTATCAAATAACACTACTACTACTTTGCTGCAGTTGTTGTGGAGAGTTACAGTGAGAGTTACAGTGAGTTACAGTGAGTTAGTGAGTTGTTACAGTGAGAGTTACAGAGTTAGTGTTACAATGCTCCTTACAGCGAGTTACAGTGAGTGTGGAGCCCCACCTGCTGCTGTACCAGCAAGAAGTCTTCAGCAAGGCGAGTTTATTGTCCAGCAATGTACTGATGCAGGGTGTAAGGTGCGGCCCAGCACTGATACAGAGTGTGAGGTGCGGCCCAGCACTGACACAGGGTGTGAGTCTCGCTCATCATCACTCACTTCACATCATCACCCTCAGTGACATCACTGCTTGTTTGGTTAATGGGGTTTAAGGTCTATCTAATACGCGACTCTCATTAAGTTGCATATTATATAACAAAATTTCACTTTTGTCGTGTTCCGGGGAAATAAGCATCATTTCCCAATTCTTTATAACTAAACAAAAATTTAAAAAAAAAAAAAAATTGATCACAGAACTTTGCTTTTGTGGTCAGGACACTTCTGGAACACTTTCAAGAAAGACTGATGTAAAACTATTATGTTCTAGGGTTTTGTCCCCTCAAGGAAGGTTCCTTGATGTTGGTGAGGGGCTCTTGATTTAGGGAATTGGATCTGTGCTCCAGTTCCCCGAATTAAGCCTGAATGCCTTCCACATCCCCCCCCCCCCCCGGCGCTGTATAATCCTCCGGGTTTAGCGCTTCCCCCTTGATTATAATAATAATAATCTAGGGTTTTGCTTTGCAAATATAAAAACAGGGGCTCAAAAACCAGCATTCAGTTCAGCTCTGGCTACATAAACGAATCTACTCCTACCTTATCTCCCAAAACATACTCAACCCCTGCCTGGAGAGAGTTTACCTGGAGAGAGTTTCGGGGGTCAACGCCCCCGCGGCCCGGTCTGTGACCAGGCCTCCTGGTGGATCAGCGCCTGATCAACCAGGCTGTTGCTGCTGGCTGCACGCAAACCAACGTACGAGCCACAGCCCGGCTGATCAGGAACTGACTTTAGGTGCTTGTCCAGTGCCAGCTTGAAGACTGCCAGGGGTCTGTTGGTAATCCCCCTTATGTGTGCTGGGAGGCAGTTGAACAGTCTCGGGCCCCTGACACTTATTGTATGGTCTCTTAACGTGCTAATGACACCCCTGCTTTTCATTGGGGGGATGGTGCATCGTCTGCCAAGTCTTTTGCTTTCGTAGTGAGTGATTTTCGTGTGCAAGTTCGGTACTAGTCCCTCTAGGATTTTCCAGGTGTATATAATCATGTATCTCTCCCTCCTGCGTTCCAGGGAATACAGGTTTAGAAACCTCAAGCGCTCCCAGTAATTGAGGTGTTTTATCTCCGTTATGCGGGCCGTGAAAGTTCTCTGTACATTTTCTAGGTCGGCAATTTCACCTGCCTTGAAAGGTGCTGTTAGAGTGCAGCAATATTCCAGCCTAGATAGAACAAGTGACCTGAAGAGTGTCATCATGGGCTTGGCCTCCCTAGTTTTGAAGGTTCTCATTATCCATCCTGTCATTTTTCTAGCAGATGCGACTGATACAATGTTATGGTCCTTGAAGGTGAGATCCTCCGACATAATCACTCCCAGGTCTTTGACGTTGGTGTTTCGCTCTATTTTGTGGCCAGAATTTGTTTTGTACTCTGATGAAGATTTAATTTCCTCATGTTTACCATATCTGAGTAATTGAAATTTCTCATCGTTGAACTTCATATTGGATTTGGATTCAGGCCTAATAAAAATACTAATGATGCTATTATACACATGCTAGAACATATACTAATGCCGGAAAAAAAATCCCCCCCCAGTACCAACAATACCACCAGTCCGATAACATTCTTCTTTGCAAATATACAGGGTCTAAAGCCAGCAACAAACAACAAAATACCTTTCATCCGTGGACTGCTTGCAGAGGCAAAGGCAATGTTCGCGGCTTTCACTGAGACCCACATAAAGGATCACTTGGACAACGAAATATGGATCCCAGGTTACAACCTATACAGATGTGACAGAGTGAACAGGCAAAAGGGGGGGGTTGGCCTGTACATTGCAGAGTCACTTGTTTGCACAGAACTGCTAAATGCCTCAAATGATGTAGTGGAAGTTTTAGCAGTAAAGGTCGAGAACCAAAACCTAGTCATTGTGATAGTCTACAAGCCTCCGGATGCAACATCCCAGCAATTCCAGGAACAGCTGTTAAAAATTGACCACTGTCTGGAAAACCTTCCAGCTCCTGCACCCAACATCTTGCTCCTGGGGGATTTCAACTTAAGGCACCTAAAATGGAGGAATATAGCAAATAATATTGTTGCAGTAATAACACCAGGAGGCAGCTCTGATGAAAACTCACACTCACGCGAGCTTTTAAATCTCTGCACAAAATTCAATTTAAACCAGCAAATAATAGAGCCTACTAGACTGGAGAATACACTAGACCTCATCTTCACTAACAATGATGATCTGATAAGAAATATCACCATATCAAAAACAATATACTCAGATCACAACATAATTGAGGTTCAGTCATGTATGCGCGGAGCCCCAGACCGACATAATGAGATTAGTCACGAGGGAGCATTCACCAAATTCAACTTCAATAACAAAAACATAAAGTGGGACCAAGTAAACCAAGTCCTAACCGATATAAGCTGGGAAGATATACTAAGCAACACAGACCCCAACTTATGCCTAGAACAGATTAACTCGCTGGCACTCGATGTATGCACAAGGCTTATTCCTCTAAGAAAAAGGAGGAGTAGATGTAAAACAGAAAGAGACAGGCGCTCCCTTTACAGGCGACGGAAAAGAATAACAGAGCGGCTAAAAGAGGTCAATATATCTGAAATGCGTAGGGAGACACTGGTCAGAGAAATAGCAAGCATCGAACTTAAGCTAAAAGAATCCTTTAGGAGTCAGGAATCGCGGGAAGAACTAAAAGCCATAAATGAAATCGAAAGAAACCCAAAGTATTTCTTCTATGCCAAATCAAAATCGAGAACAACGTCCAGTATTGGGCCCCTACTTAAACAAGATGGGTCCTACACAGATGACAGCAAGGAAATGAGTGAGCTACTCAAGTCCCAATATGACTCAGTTTTTAGCAAGCCGCTAACCAGACTGAGAGTCGAAGATCAAAATGAATTTTTTATGAGAGAGCCACAAAATTTGATTAACACAAGCCTATCCGATGTTATCCTGACGCCAAATGACTTCGAACAGGCGATAAATGACATGCCCATGCACTCTGCCCCAGGGCCAGACTCATGGAACTCTGTGTTCATCAAGAACTGCAAGAAGCCCCTATCACGAGCCTTTTCCATCCTATGGAGAGGGAGCATGGACACGGGGGTCGTCCCACAGTTACTAAAAACAACAGACATAGCCCCACTCCACAAAGGGGGCAGTAAAGCAACAGCAAAGAACTACAGACCAATAGCACTAACATCCCATATCATAAAAATCTTTGAAAGGGTCCTAAGAAGCAAGATCACCACGCATCTAGAAACCCATCAGTTACACAACCCAGGGCAACATGGGTTTAGAACAGGTCGCTCCTGTCTGTCTCAACTATTGGACCACTACGACAAGGTCCTAAATGCACTAGAAGACAAAAAGAATGCAGATGTAATATATACAGACTTTGCAAAAGCCTTCGACAAGTGTGACCATGGCGTAATAGCGCACAAAATGCGTGCTAAAGGAATAACAGGAAAAGTCGGTCGATGGATCTATAATTTCCTCACTAACAGAACACAGAGAGTAGTCGTCAACAGAGTAAAGTCCGAGGCAGCTACGGTGAAAAGCTCTGTTCCACAAGGCACAGTACTCGCTCCCATCTTGTTCCTCATCCTTATATCCGACATAGACAAGGATGTCAGCCACAGCACCGTGTCTTCCTTTGCAGATGACACCCGAATCTGCATGACAGTGTCTTCCATTGCAGACACTGCAAAGCTCCAGGCAGACATCAACCAAATCTTTCAGTGGGCTGCAGAAAACAATATGAAGTTCAACGATGAGAAATTTCAATTACTCAGATATGGTAAACATGAGGAAATTAAATCTTCATCAGAGTACAAAACAAATTCTGGCCACAAAATAGAGCGAAACACCAACGTCAAAGACCTGGGAGTGATCATGTCGGAGGATCTCACCTTCAAGGACCATAACATTGTATCAATCGCATCTGCTAGAAAAATGACAGGATGTATAATGAGAACCTTCAAAACTAGGGAGGCCAAGCCCATGATGACACTCTTCAGGTCACTTGTTCTATCTAGGCTGGAATATTGCTGCACACTAACAGCACCTTTCAAGGCAGGTGAAATTGCCGACCTAGAAAATGTACAGAGAACTTTCACGGCGCGCATAACGGAGATAAAACACCTCAATTATTGGGAGCGCTTGAAGTTCCTAAACCTGTATTCCCTGGAACGCAGGAGGGAGAGATACATGATTATATACACCTGGAAAATCCTAGAGGGACTAGTACCGAACTTGCACACGAAAATCACTCACTACGAAAGCAAAAGACTTGGCAGACGATGCACCATCCCCCCAATGAAAAGCAGGGGTGTCACTAGCACGTTAAGAGACCATACAATAAGTGTCAGGGGCCCGAGACTGTTCAACTGCCTCCCAGCACACATAAGGGGGATTACCAACAGACCCCTGGCAGTCTTCAAGCTGGCACTGGACAAGCACCTAAAGTCAGTTCCGGATCAGCCGGGCTGTGGCTCGTATGTTGGTTTGCGTGCAGCCAGCAGCAACAGCCTGGTTGATCAGGCTCTGATCCACCAGGAGGCCTGGTCACAGACCGGGCCGCGGGGGCGTTGACCCCCGGAACTCTCTCCAGGTAAACTCCAGGTATATACACTGCAATAGAGAAAAAAGAAGTCCCACTGGGGATCTTCATTGACTTACGTAAAGCTTTTGATACAGTTGACCATGACTTGCTCCACGTAAAATTGTCACACTATGGTATAAGAGGGCACTCCCTCAACTACCTCAAGTCTTACCTCAGCAACAGAAGCCAATATGTGTACGCTAATGGGGCAAACTCTTCTGTGCAACCAATTACAGTTGGTGTCCCACAGGGAAGTGTCCTTGGCCCTCTTCTCTTTCTCCTATACATAAATGACCTTCCAAATGCTTCGCAATTACTCAAACCCACACTATTTGCAGATGACACTACATACGTCTTCTCTCACCCGAGCCCAGTCATGCTAGCCAATACTGTAAATACCGAATTACAGAAAATATCTACCTGGATGAGGACTAACAAACTTACACTAAACATTGACAAAACCTACTTCATTCAGTTTGGTAGCAGAGCTACAGATGTCCCTCTTAACATAATGATAAACGGATCACCTATCACAAAGCTAACAGAGGGAAAATTCTTAGGAA